TATTTTAGTTAATCTATTAATATTATTAAATAAAATAATTATAAATTCAATAGAGATATATTTATCAATATTAAAATGAATAAAGACTGAAATACTATGCTTTAATAAAAATAAATATGGAAATATCTGATAAATAACTAATAATTTAATAAAATTGGTAGGGGAAAATAACAAAAAAAATAATATTACTTTATTTAATATAATTTCACTATTTGATCATATATTACTAAAATCAAGGGTATTTAAGGATATAATTTTACTATTTAATTATATATTATTAAATTCGAATATATTATCTAAGAGTATATTATCTAATATTATATTATTTAATAAAACTTTATCACTTATTATATCTATATCTATATCTATTTTTATATTATCTTTAAAATATAATCTTAAAAAGAGAAAGAGAAGTAATAACAATAATATAGAAAAATAGAGAGACTCCAAAATTATTTGGGTTTTATTTGCTTTTTTAAATAAGTTAGGATCAAAATCAATTAAATATATCATAATTGTTATTCCAAATATTTATTAATTCAAATAGGAGACAAATAATGAAATTACTTTGAAAATCTTAACTATTTTAGTAGATATATTAATAAAAGTTGAAATTGTTTTATTAATAATAAAAATATTTGGGATTAAGATATTAAATATATATAAAAAAGTAATAACAAACAAAAAGCATATAAAAAATTAGTAAACTATAATTCAAAAAGAAATAAACTTATTAATCAAGAATAGTATTTGGAAAAAGTTCATTTTACTATAAGAGAATAATCTAATTTCAATAAAATGAATATTCCTTATTAAAATAAAAAATAATAAAATAAAGTAATTTAAGATCAAATTAATAATTAAAAAGTTTAGTCAAGTTTTGAATAAAGATTATAATAAAATCTTTATTTTTACTATTCAATTTAATACTCTTCGCTTTTTTCTTATAATTATTATAAGAGAGAATCTTGAGTATTCCCATTTTAATATCAAAAATGTATTTATTGAATTATACTTAAAAAAAGAAATCTATTTAATATTTTTTTAAGATATTAATATTAATTGTGGTTATATTCTATATATATTTAGGAATCTTTATGGGCTAAAGCAAGCTAATAAAAATTAAAACCTTTTTCTAAAAGGAAAGTTAATTAAAATAAATTTTATATAAAACCTTGTGAATTTATATTTATATATCAATTACCTATACTAATTAATTCTCTTAGTATATATAAATAATATTATTATTATTATTATATAGAAATAAAATATTCAATAATTTTATTATAATCTTTTTGCTTAATTCAATATTAAAAATCTGGGGGAAATTAATAAGATTTTAGAAATATATATTATTTATAATAAATTAAAAAAAGTATTAATTATAAATCAAAAAAAATATTTGGATACAATGCTTACTCAATTTGGGATCTTCTATAATTAATATACTTCAAAAAAGATATTAATTTTGGATTACAATCAACTACAATCAATGCTCTCAAACAATAAAGATATTAATTTTGGATTACAATCAACTACAATCAATGCTCTCAAACAATAAACTCATTAATAAATAATTAGCAGTATAATTCACTTTATGATTTATATTAGATTAGATATTATATTCAATCTTAGGAAATTAGTATAAACTATATCTAACCCTATCAAATATTACAGTATTACATTCAAAAACCTTATAAGATATTTAAGATCAATTATTAAATAAAAATTATGTTTTGGGCCTAAAGGAGTTCAATTAGATATTTATAAAGAATATAATCTCCTACAATATATTATTAAAGTATATACCAATGTAGACTAGGTAAATAATAGAATCAATTGAAAAAGCATTTTTGATGGGGTAGTAATATTCTATAATAAATTAATTTTATGAATAAGCAAAAAATAAATATCTATAACTATATTTAGTATAAAAGCTGAATACATTTTTATAGCAATATTTATTAAATAAGGGTAATAAATAACCCAATTCTTAAAGGATTTAGAGTGATCATAATATATCAAAAGTAATAATAAAGTTCAAATACTTAAAAACAATTAAGGAATATTAGTATTAATTAAGAATTTATATTTATATAAATAATCAAAGTATATTAACATTTGTTATTATTTTATTCAAAATCTCATAGAAAAATATTTAGTTAATATTAGTTATGTTAATATAAGTGATATGGCTGTAAATAGATTAATAAAACTATATATAAGAATAATATTTAAGAGATTTAAGAATATACTAAAGCTTCAAAAAGAGTAAACTTTTTAGAAGAATATTAGAAATTGTGATATATACTCCAAAATCAACCAAATCAACCAAATCAACCAAATTGATCAAATTAACCAAATTAACCAAATTAATTAACTAAATTAACCAAATTAACCAAATTAATCAAAATTACTGAATCCACCTATTTCACCTATTTCATTAAATTTATTGAATTCATCTTATATCGAATTTATCAAAAATTAATGATTTCAAGAAAATCATATGGAATAATAGATAAGCTTAAGATCTATTTATATATAATTAGATTTTGATAGTTTTCTATATTAAAACAATAATTCTATAATCAAGAAATAACGAATTTCGAAGTAATCAGTTATTAGACATATAAAAGAAATTTTAAAGAAATTAATTATTGAAACTAAGAAAATAAACTTTCTAGAAAAGTATTAAAAGTTGTAATATGTATTCTAAGTTATTATACATATATCATTTCCATTTTGTAATTAAATTTTATTTTAGTATAATTAATCTATATAGTCAATAATACATGCATTCCACTGGCCTGCTCCTTCATTTTGAACAAGTATTACTATTAGATTATAATATATTTGTTATTTGAGTTAGTAATACAAAGAAAATATGAATCTTTTTTAATAAATCCTAATCTATCTTTGATAATATATTAAATTGATATTTTTTATTGATATATTTATTAAAGAAAGTCTTGATTACATTATATATTGGGTATATAATTATTATTCTAATTGCTTTTTTCCAGGAGTTCTATTTTGTTTTATTATTTCGAATAGAATAATGATCTTTAGATATATATAGAAAGTTTTGTATATATTGTAAGTTAGATTGAATATATATAATAATGTTATAAAGTTTATTAAGTAGACCTAATTTCCTTTATTTTTTGATAAAATATAATTATTTTCTCAATTCAAATATATTTATATTATTTATTTTGATTATTTTAGAATCAATAACAAATAGAAAGAAATGTATAGCTAAATTAATTATATAATTTTAACATCAAATTCGATGGAGTTTGATATTATACTTTATATCGTATTTATTGTGTAGAATTAAATAATTTATGAATATTAGTATTAAATAATATAAATAAAGTATTAAAATATTTATTACAAAATATATTGTAAATTATAATATTATTATTAATAGTATTATCTATTTGAAATTATCTAAGTTTTAATATAATTCCCTAATCAATAAGAATATTCATTATTATCTTTAAGATATTCTTATTATTATATATACTAATAATCTTTTTTATACCCAATACTACATATTCAAATATATTATCTTTATTAATATAATACTTAATAATATCTAAAATAAACAAATAATTAAATAAAATTCATATATCATATAAGATATAAACTTTAATACACATACTCTATATCCTAATCTTGATATATTCTTTTTCTTGTAAAAATTAATACAATATTCACTCAGTGATTATAGATATAGCATTAAAAAGAAAGATATTAATATTGGAATTCAAATATATTAAGAAAATACGAAATTCCGAGTAAATAATAAGATATAGAACTTGATTATTAATTATAATAAATTTAATATATAAAGATTTAATAATATCCCTATTAAACTATTGTTCTATAGATACAGCATTTGCAAAATAATAGTGTTTTATTGGATTGCCAATTACTATTGCTATAGTCTCTTATATAGATGATTATTAATTAAATACATATTGACATACTAAACTATCTACCTTGATATTATATTTTTTATCAAAATGATACTTAATCTTTTTGGTACTATTAATAATAATAAAGTACTTATCCTTTCTTTTCTCTATATAATATTTGTATAACTATATCTCACATTATTTATTATTGTAGAAAATAGCTTGTATATTTATTATATTATACATATACTTATAAACCTAGAATGTACATTTGTATTTATTCTTAAATATTGAGGATTATAAGGATTGTCAAGATAATAATAATAGAAAAGGATTTAAAGAATTAAGATTATAATTCTTAGCGAAAAGTGTATTGTTTAATATAAAAAGCGTTTTGGTAGAAGATATAGTATATTCTGATTGAGTTATTGAAGATAGCGATAGTGAGATTCCAAAAGAAGTAATAGAATCTTGGGAATCTTGTGAATTATTTGTAAGAGGCCTTTGATTAAAAGATAGTTGTGTTTGAGAGAATAAAGGTATATTCTGGGATATATTTGATAATAGTATTATTAATTACTTTGAAAATGTTTAATTTTGAATGTGAGATTATCAAAAAAAGCAATTAGTATATCTTTATTATCTATTCAATTAGGTAATTCAATTGTGTGAGCTCAATATTAACTCTGGGGTTCAAAGCTTTTTATTATATGCCAATTCCCAATAATACAAAAGTCTGGACTGTAGTTTAGACTTTTTAATAATAGATTATCTAGTCTGGACTTTTTATATTGAAATATATCTAATAGTTTATATAGTCTTATAGATTTTAATTCAGTTTGTTTGGCTTGCTGTTCGGATGGAATACGGGTAGACTATTGGATACACTGGGCTAAGGTTTTCTCTTATCTTGGCAAGCAGGTCAGATCAGGGAGGGTCCCGTGTGTCTGTACGCCCACTTGTGTTCCGGGCTGGAAGTCATATTGATGGTAAGTTCATTCTAATTATCACAATCACTTGTTCTAACTCTGATACGCAGACAGCGTATGGAATTTACTACCAGCAGCGAAGCGTTTCTTAACTTGCGTGAGCAGTGACCATCATTCCAGCATCAATCAACAAGCCAGTCTCATTGACATAGGTAGCCGGAGGGCTGCAAAGGAAGACGGCAACATTAGCTACTTCTTCTGGCGTCGCGGCTCTTTTTGCTGGTGAGACAGCCTGGATGACTCTTTCGGGTCCCGCCCAACGAGCCAAACTTCGTTCCAACATGGGAGTCTTCACCCATGACGGGCAAAGCGCGTTCACACGGATTTCGTGCTTTGCGTTGTCCAGCGCTGTCAAACACATCAGTCGCTATACTCAAGGAGCCCAATAAGAGAACTCACCAGCTACTTTAGTAATTCCCATCACTGCGTGTTTCGACGCGGCATAAGCCATCATTCCTGGGCCTGCACCATATGACAATCCAGATCCAAGGTTCACGATGCATCCCCGACCCAGCGAACGCTCATCCCCATGGCGGCCCTTGACCTTTTTCGGTTCTTGTGCGGCCATAGCTTTCATCACAGCTCTAAGGCATAACATTGTGCCACGAGCATTCACAGCGAACGTTTTGTCGAAGTTGTCAATATCGATATCGGACGTTGGTGCGAGAGATGTGGCTCCAACCTTCAAGATGCAAATATTGGTCAGCACATTTGCATGAACATAGTTTCTGATGCACTCACTCCAGCACTATTGACAAAGTAATCAATTCGACCAAACTCCTTTATTGTGAGATCGACCATTGCCTGAACACTCTCTGGCTCGGTGGTGTTTACCTCCAAGGCCAAGGTTCGGTATTGAGGGTTGGTAGCGAATTTTTTACTCTTTTCTGCGCTCGTTTTGGCCCCCTCAATGTTGAGGTCGGCAAAGACAACCCCTGAAGCACCTGCTTCGGCGAATGCGAAGCCAGTTTCTTCCCCGATGCCTGCTGCTCCCTATGAGCAAGTGTGTCAGTAATCGATTGATGATTGCAGATTTGACAGATCCTGCCCCTGTGACCAGAGCCACACCATTGATTGCTATGTTTGACATGATACAAGCAAATTCAAGCAATTAAATTTTGATAATGACTCGTGGTTTTCAAAGAAGTTGTTGTTGGTGGGTTGCAGAACTGCTGAGACAATTAAAGAAAACACCTCTGGTAAAAGTACCTTCTAAAAAGAAATCAAACGGTTGATAACATATGCTCTAAGACATATTCCTGCAGCTCCGTTGCTGCAGCTTACAGGCTCAGCACGAAGCACATATTGATATGCAATTAGAAATATCCCTGCCTTTTGAATCAATATTGACATGCATATCGAGGTGGGGTTCGGACAGGTGCCAGTTTGGAGACCTGCATATTTTTTTCTTTCGTAAATCTAATGCTTGCTATAGATCTTTGGCAAACCTCTCCTAACTAAACTTTGATGTTAACCTCTTAGGGTATATCCCTATGTGTAAAGCACAACCACGTTGCAAAAACATTCCAAAGCGGAAGATATATCCGCAGATATATTAAAGGGTAAGGTTCTGCATACTGCAGTGCCTATTACCATCAACATTTCCACGTACCTCTGAGGCGCAAATTACCAAAATTCGCAAGATGAATTTCTTATGCCTCCACGGAATGGGAACAAATAGCGATGTATGTGCTGTTTTAGCCGCCATGATATACTCGACAGCCAATTGAAGAGATCGGCGGGTTTGAATCCTAGGTAACAAGCTAACAGGTAGTACAATTTATAGATACTTGCGCTTCAAATCGGTATGCAATATCATCAATAGCAAACCACACGTTTGTTTCATATCTTAATATAGACTGCTAGCAACGATTCGTTATGAATTGGACGATCACCACACATATGATTTTGTGGAGGGAGCAATCCCACATCCCATAGCTCCAGGTTTGAATTCATCACCAACAGACTCTAAATTGCAGATTGTACCCACCCGCAAAGATCTTTCTAATCTCTACTTGAGCTGTAGGCGTTAAATTCTGAATTGCTTCCGAGGATTGCAGAATTACTTCCCTCTGTTCCAAAGTTAAGATTGCATCAAGTCGTGAAATGACGAATCCCTTGTATACTGCAGTAACTATCGCGAGACCAAGCGCTCCGCCCATAACTCGAAACTGAATAACAGAGCCCAATGCAACAGCTTCGAAATTTCGCGTTGGTTGATAGGATTTGTGAAAATTGGATTATCTACTGACCTTGATCCCTCGAATTGGAGACTGAATACGGTGTCATAAGGATGAGAGTTGAAATGTTGATTCCGACTCCAAAGCCAGCGATTACTTGATATCCGTACTGAGCCGAGGGAGTTTTGGTGGATGTTGAAAGTGTCGGAAGAAGAGTAAAGCCAACCACTTGTAACACTGATGCAGTGATTACTAGGTAGATGGGGGGATTTTTGCTTTTCCAGCTAACACCGCAGAAACGATGGAGCCTACTGGCGCGAAAACAGTGAAAGAGATCAAACGTATCCCCGCAGTCAGGGCCGATACATTATCAACCACTTGAAAACGCTGAGGAAGTTGGAAGATGGTAACAAACCATGGTGTGCTGAGGAACAATGCGTTTCTAATTATTGAAAAAAACACTAATTATTAACATTCACTATAGACAACGTATGACAATATATTTACAAGGTGGTTAACTCACAGTATCATTTCCATCCAAATTCGACTGGTCATCAGTGCCCAAGGGGATATAGACTCTGTATAGCTCGACCTCAGCGTTACGGCCTGTTCATACAAAATGAATATAGTCCACATGATGCCGGAAATGCTCAATAGAGCTATAACCCTGTAGTAACAGAATTCATGGTTAACGAAGTGATCCTTTCGTAATTACTATAAATTCTATAATACCTTTATTATATATTAAATAAATTGTTTTTAAAGTATTAATATAATTAATCTAAATCTCTATACTTTATAAGGTTTATTCTAATTAATAAGATCTTAATGAAATTCTTGAATTTAGAAAGCTTTTAAGTTTTAGTTTATGTGACGACAATGGAGTCAAGTCACAGTAATAAAATGAATCAATTATTATAATTAGAGAATAATAAATTATTGTATAAAGAATGAATCTATAAGAGGCTTTTATAGACCTAAAAAGAACCAAAAGGGAATTAAGAGGGGACCAAGAAAGAATCAAAACAAAACAAGATTTACTTTGCCAGGTGGGGTAAATAAATAACTAATTTAGATCTAAGATTGGATTGTTATATTACTCTCTTTTTGAGAAATGACTTATCTTTAAATCTATTCTTATTCTTTTTTTTACTTCTTTATCTTTGGAGACCTAGGTTTCTTTTTTATTACTATTTTTTCCTCTACCTTTCTTATCACCTTTCTTTTTTTTAATAATATAGCTAATGATTTATCTTTTTTGCTATTATTATTTTCATTATTAGAGATATCAATCGGAGTATTATATACTTATCGTAGGGGGCTAGCTATGGTTATATGAATTATTTGATTGTGGGGCGGAATATTATTTATTACTTTTAAGGTGTATTACTTATTTTCTTTTTTTTTTCTTCATTAAATCAGAAACTAATTATTTGGTATAATTTGTTATTTTGTTATTTGTTGTAAATATTTTTGGGTAATATATGTATATTATATTTTTGTAGTAAGGAGAGTTTACAAAAAAAAACAAAGAGAGGTATAATAAGGGGTGTTTTTTAAGAGAGCTTGAATTCTCTTGATATTGGTAGTGGTTGGTTTGGGGAAGTGAATGCTATTTTGTTGATAATTTTTGATTTTCTTAAATTATTTGATAACTATTATATTCAATACATAATAAATAATAAGGCTATCTAAAACGATTTTAAGGAATTGGGTGAAGATTATAGTTTTAGTTATATTATTTTTCTATTTAGTATTACTTCAAACAAACTAATTCAAATATTTGCTTTTTTTGTTTATAAAACTATTTAATTGTTTAGTAGCAAATTCAATATCTTTTTGTAAATATTTACTGCAAGTGATTATAGTTATAAAAACCATATACTTAGCTTTCAAGTTTTTTTTATTATATTCCAATATTTGTAAAGTTTTTTTTTTATCTTATAAATCTATAATCTGATAGTAAAGTTATTTAAATTAATACTAAGCTTTATAAATTATATTTTACTAAATTCGATTATTTCGGTTTGTTAGAGCTTTGGGAGAATTGGATATAAGTCGATATATATAAGAATATTGGTGAAATAGATGGACTTACTAAAAATAAAAATAAGAATAAATAAGTTTACAGATAGTAAAGTGGGTATTACAGTTTGCAACTATTAATCTAATAGATCTTATTTCTTATTATTTAGTATTAATTACAAAGGGGAGAATAAAAGAGATCTGAATAATATTATCTGAACTTATTATTTAATAAAGCATATTAAAAAGCTAAAAATATTATATAAAACTTAAAATATTACTAATTTTTTATTACTTCCGAATTAAATCAAAGAATTAATTTGATTTAAATAAAGTTAATTTATAAAAATAAAATATAAATAAAAGAAATATAAAAAATATAAACAAAAAGTAAATATAAAGCAAACAAATTTTTATAATAATAAAAAAAGGTTTATATATAAACCTATTTTTCTCAAAATAAATTAATTAAATAAATCTGTTTTATATCTATATTCATAAGTTTTCTATTTACTAGATTATTATAATTATTAATACCATCTTTTTAGTTTTTTATTCATTTTAATAAGTTCTCTAAAGGATCTATAGTATATAAATATTGTATATAAAAGCTTTTAATTTTATAAAATATATATATTATATTTCTATAGTAATATTATATAGAATTATTATTATAATCTATTTACCTTACCTTATAATAAATCTCTTTTCAAATAATCTTTAAGATTAATATATTTTAGATCTTGAATTTAGTATTTATTATAATTACAATTAAAGATAAGAAATCGACTTTTTGATTAAACATAGGATTATTAAGTACTTTTCAAAGCTTATCTAAAGAAAAGACTTTGTATATTTTTATACTATTAAATAGATTAAAATAATAAAAATAATTCTTTTTGAAAAAAATAGTATAAGAATTGATTATCTACAGATTGAGTTTTTAACTAGATTTTTTAATAATAAAGTTTTTTGTAGTAATAAAGATTTTATTATTAATCTTGAAATTAATAATTTATTTATATCTATTAATATCCCTTCTTTTTTTGTTTTAAAATTTAAGAATAATTTCTTTAACTATTTCTTAGATTTTATATATTCTAAATATAAAAGCTTATATTTCTTTTTAAAAAAGTTTTTCTTGAATTATAAAAATAATAAAAGACCTATTTCAATCAAAAAAGATAATAGATTCATATTCATTTTAAAGCTTGAAAAGGAATATTCCTAAACTTTTATATAAAAAGATGAATTGAGCATAATCTATAATATATAAAAACTCTAACCAATTGTTCTAATAGTAATTGATATAAGAATATAAGTATTAGTTCAGATATTGATTTATAATTTTTATTTAACTATTTATTTGAAAATAATATACTATGAAAAGTTTCAATTTAATATCCAAGATCCAAATAAATTCTTTTCAAAAAAGAGATATAAATTGGGAGCCTCTATTAAAGATTATAATCTTTGAAGTATTTTTCTATTAATAAATATTATTTAAATATATTATTATTATATCCCTAATATTAATAGTCTTATAATATAATATAAAAATAAACTATTTCGATAATCTATTTATTATTACAAAGATATTATTATAACCAAATTTATTAATAGGAAATATTTTGAAATCCATAAATATATCTATTTAAGATCTTAAGAATACAAATAATAATTATAGAAATTCTAGTATTTTATCTTTAAGAATATAAAAGTTATAACAAATAATATAGTTATTAATATATTAATTAATAAATTCTGATATATTCTTCCAGAAATATCTTTTTTTAAGAATTAGTTTGATTTTAGTTTTTTTAGAATATACTAAAAAGATTTGAGTATAAACTTCTTCTATAAGATTAGTATATAGATAATCTAT